CTACACTGTGTAATAGTTATAAAGTGAGATTTCCCCACATTAACCACATATTCCCCTAGATAAAAATTGATTTGAACTACTGTTTACAGAGTTATTTTCGTCCCGTGTTATTTTCGCCCTATCATATCTGAAAAAAAGTTGTTGTTTTGTTTTGGAGAGTATTTGATCTTGAAATTAGATCAAAGAAAAATAAACAATTTCACAGCCATGTTCCTATTTCAAACAACAAGTCCGATGTCCGTACAAAACTCGGTTATTTCTCAACGAAGGTGAAAATGTAATGTTACACAGCTTTAAAGAGATTTGGAGTCGACTCACTGCCCAAAGGCATGGAGACAAGGATGACAGTAAATTTGACTATACTTGGCTCCGTGGCTATTTGGTCTGGTTTATTAATATCAACATGGACGTCCGACGTTTTATGACCACTGACGGTGTCGATGAAGACTTGCACGAGAAAGCACTGGGTCGCCCTGTTTACAATTCATGAAGAATTAGTCCTGTCGTCCAGCGTATCTTACAGGAATGTTGTTAATATCACTGTCCAGCGAAGGGTTTCATTGAGCCATTGAGCTTGTTCATTGTTGAGGCAGAGCAGGTTTTTCCGTGAGTATAGACTTAAGAGTATTAGTATTTCTATAATTAAATTTCTAAATACATTATTAGCATCTAGAGCTCTGTTTTCTGTTGGAAAGCTATATAGGCCTTATCATGGCTTTTGTACCCGAGGCCATCCTTAAAAAAATTTTTTTTTGCGGTAACGCGCCTCATCATTTAAGGTGTGGGTAGGTAGGTAGGCTTATTTTTTTTTTTTTTTTGAGACAAAAAGTCAGAATTAAATTTCGATTAGATAGAGGTATTAACTATGTCTTAGATTTCACTTTAAGTTAATAATCAAACAAGAAAATTAAGGCATTCTTAATGAATCCAATCTTTTATTGTTCAAATATCAGAACACATCAGTTCTTTTTTAAAAAACGGCGTCTACAGGTGCAATGGGGACGTAAAAAAATGTCAATAGGATAACATTAGAAAATAGACATGTAAAAAAAATTTTTTTTTGAACCCATAAAAAAAATCCAGTAGGGTGGATTTTGGTGAGTCGGTCGCGTTACCGCAAAAAAACAATTTTTTAAGGATGGCCCGACGGAATGCAGAACTCAGTCACAATGAATATAATGCAGGTATCCTGTAATATTTTGAGGAACTCAAGGAGAGAAATGCAAATGTTTCAGTATATTTTAGTGAAATATTAGGACAGTGCAGAACTTTATTGATTTGTTTTACCTTTAAAAATTGTAATACATGTACAATGGATATCTTGATGTACACTGTATTTTTGTGCAAAAATTAAGCTGTAGTGGAACATAGACATAAAGGGTTTGCTTTAGGTCTATGAGTGGAATCAGTAGATCTAAGGAGAAGCTTTTGTCAGTAGATCTAAGGAGAACCCATTGTGGCCCATGCTCTATTATCATATTTTTCCTAATTTGTTATAGTGAATATTTGAATTAATTATACTGTAGTATTTTGCTTGTTCTTTTTGCCTGATCATGAGAAGGTACACAATTGATGCTTACTCCTTCACTGGCACTTGACCCCATCTCTAATGTTTTAGGGGTCTTCTTTGCTTTGCCCCTGATTTGTATTCTTCCAAGCTTGACAACAATCCCATATCACCTTTCTGATAAACAAGCAAACAATCTTTGATCAGGACTAAAAATAGCTGTCATGTTTTTAGACAGATCAATATCCTCCATATGAAGACAATTACCTTTTATATATACCCCTGTTTATTGCTGCTTTATGACCCTTAGTTACATTTATGACCTAAAAGTACGATTGTAATACTTCCCCCATACTATAAAATCTACTTCATAACATTACATACATAAGGTTCATTTCCTATTTATTATTAATAGCATAAATAAATAATACACGTGAAAAGTGTTCAAATTATGAAGACTAATAAAGGATTAATATGATATCAAATCAGCAGGTAAAGTTGCATGTATTCTTTTAAAAGGCATACTGTTTTTATGATTTTAATTGTAGATTGCTTACGATAATGTTCTTAATAATAGAAGGGGTAAGGGGTGGGGGCTCTGACGTCTCTGTATTGCCTGATGAAGTAGGGCCAAGACTTACGTAAACTTGCCAATAATCTTCATGTAGAAGTATTTTAAAGCAGGGGAACAACTAAGTTGTCCATATCAAAATATTTGTTTTATTTATAACTCTGCATTTGAAGTTTTCTTAGCAAACAAAGCATTATATTTCTATGGCCTAAAACCAAAACTGAAATAATTGGCAAATTGTTATCTGTAAAAGTTACATGGTGTCTCTACAATATGTTAGTCCTTTTTTTATTGGTTATTCCCTAAATTGATAATGATATGATCAATTCTGTCTGGTAGTTTCTAAACTGTAATAGGTAATCATTATGATGTGGATGTTGATCCTTTGAAGTTGTCACTGGTGGCAGTGGTCAATAAGGGCCTTTGGTTGCAGAAAACAATCCAATTTGTCAAAAATGATTACCGGTAGTTCAATTTCTTTTCTAAATGCCATTGTTTGAGATTTTTATTTTTTCATGTATATCTGTTTTGAAAGAAGTTTCCAAAGATTGATCCTATAGATTTGCGATTTAAATGTGATTTTAAGTTCTTTAATTAGATCTATAACTAGATTTCTAGATCCAGGTATGCCTAAACTAAGTTCAAACTTTTCCAATTTGTATCAAACTTCACTCAAACACATGAGATAGTTTAACTGATTGACTGAATTTCCAGTAAAAATCAGCTAAATATAGCTGGGCAAAAATTGAGCCATGCATCGATCCTCAATTTAGTCAATATTAATCAATCACCATAAACCTAATTTACAAAGAGATTTACATATTTGATAATTTGAATCTGATATTTTGTGTACTCTTTTGATATTTTCCTGGATTTGTCAATTATGCTTTAGGCATGTTAACCCCCCCCCCCCCCCCCCCCCCCCCCCCAGAAATCCCATATTCATACTAGGATATTGTATTCTAGTATTAAACCCCTTATCATCCCAATAAGCGATGTCATTTTCAGTTGCATGAATAATTACATGGTTTGAAAATTGGGAGCATGTACTTGCATAAAATGAAATGTTATGATTAATCATCTGTGCTAACATAGGTCCTAAAACAGTATGTGGAGGCGAAAAACTCTAATACAATGTATACATCAACATTCAGGTAACTTTTGTGTCAGTAACATTTTTTTTAATGTATTTGATGTATTTTTTCTGCTTCTATTGTCACCTGTTTGTACATCTTAAGATATGGGATGTTTGAGGCCTGACAAATTTGATGTCAATTTTTTTTCCTACTTGAAATTTTACTCCTTCTAACATTCTTCTTGATGATATAATACATACATAGCTATTACCCCCGAGGGATTAATTAAATTACTCACTCGTGTTTTTAGCCTGTAAAATATCTGTCTCTTGGTAAATAACAACAGTTTATTTTCCCTGGATTGCCACTTTTTTTGGCATAGTAAAAAGGTAGATAATGATTTTATAATAAACATTGATCGCTTTTATTAATAAAAATATGGAATATCATAATTTTAAATACAAATATTATTTTTAAACATGTGAAATTAATGTTCTTTATTGACAAAAAGTCAATGCAACACTAATTTTCTTGACTTTCATTTTTCAGCCTGATCTATGAAGAGGATAATGAAGTTTAACTAGAGTGAACTTGATCTGAAGAAAATTACTGGTAAGTTCTATTTTGTAGAGTTTTAGATTTGAATTACATTAAAGATTTAAATTGCTAGAGTGACATAATTTGAAATATCAAACTTGAAAGGATTGTTAATTATTTAAGGACCGATACCCCTAGCTAATAAGACAAATTATTTTTGAGACTAAGATCTTTTAATTAATGACTATTACAAGCACATTGTAGTAATAATACCGAAAGTGGGAGTGGGGGCTGCAGCCAAAGAAAAAATCAACTTACCTGATAAAAAAACTAACAAGCAAGCTAGACTTTTCCTTTATAAAATTGTCCAAACATTTCATACACACACCCCCTTCTCAAAATATAGAAGTCTTTCTAAGATTTAAAGTACAGTGTATTTTCTTGAAACACTTTTATATATGTATAAAGCTCCCATCCATGTCATTTTTAAGCTGAATTTATTACACATTCCTGAGACTCATCTTTATTTGAAAAATAAAATGGCATTAAAATACTGTAAACCAACTTTTATTTGCGTTCGAGAAATTTTCGCGAGGTTCGCGAGAGCCTTGTCATCGTGAATATTTCTCATCTTGAACGGGTCCTTAAAGTGTGTCTATTAACAACAGATCCAAAAAGGCTTAATCGCAAACTAGTTTATTCCTGGTAAAGTGTGAAGTAAAGTCATCACGAATAAAAGTTAATTTACAGTATAAGTGTGAAGACATATTTTATAACTTGCTGGTTTTAACTTGTATGGTCAATTCGGAACAAATTCTAAGACCACCTCATGGCTATCAATGAAGCATTTGGCACTATATATTGATATTAGCAAAGATGTTTTTTGTTAATTGTGAATGAGGGACAATTAAGAGTTGTTGTTTTGAACATACTTTATTGTCAACATGTCAAAGGGATTGGACACAAGTTCCAAAAACTTAGATAGTCCTCTCCCATACATAAAATATCAATAGCCATACAATGTTGTACAGAGTTGTTCCCCCTGATTAGAGAAGGGACAAGAGTTGTTTCCCCTGATTAGAGATTTTGGGACAAGAGTTGTTTCCCCTGGTTTGAGAAGAGTTATCAAACATAATGCATAACTTAATGGTTTCTCCTTAAGATGAAAATGTTGCACTTTATAATTTAAGTGTCTTTATGTGGTGTGATTACATCTTATTAAAGACGCACTTCCTAGCTTCTATATGATTTTCTTTTGATATATACCTTACAGTTGTTTTTAAAAATAAATATGAAATTGTCGATTTCATAATACACACCTCATTCTGGGGCTTGCTGTATTGTGATTGACATGTTTGTAAGAATGAATGGCTGTGAACTTGGTACTTCAATCTCTACATGTGTGAGTTGGGATAAGCTAATTAGGCAGGCGATGTGGTACATGATACTTAAGACTATTATTTTGCCTGGGTCTCCTCTCTTATCATGACTGCTACAACCCACACTCTGGTCATGATTGGGATGTCACAGAAAGCTCCGTTAATTTCCGAGGAGGAACATTTCATTGAGGATTTCAGGTATTTTGTGAGTTTCTTTGTGAAGGTCAGAAAATGAAGGTGATATCTTCCTTGTAAACATTTTAATTTACCTCTTTCATATTACTTTTGACATAGTTATTAACAAGGAAATTGAATTGTTAGTGTGCACTAGCTGATGTAAAAGGAAGAGCAAGCTTCAGAGAATGATTGGTTTTCAGGTACGGTTATAAATGGAAATCAGAAAAAAAGAGTACGTATTTTACCAATTTATATCTATTTATTGAGCTGTATATGGTGTATGCATAAAGTTTTAATTAACTGTCTATGTGTCTGTGTATGCAATTGGTGTATGTATCATCCTTTATTTGAATTTTCAAGAAAATTACATGACTGTAAATCAGAGTTTCCTGTCCTCCTGGAAAGGGGGGGGGGCAAAGACACCAAACAGGGAGGCAACTGCATGGGAATAATTATCTTTTACCATTCCTCTATAATTTTTTAAAAATTAAGCCGTAGCTGTTTCAGTCTTCAAATATCTTGTAAAACTGCATGTGCACTTACACGTGGAGTTCTAATGGGGCAACTTCCTCTCTTTAAATTTTTTTTTATAATGAACAAAGATGTAAGTGTGTTACAATGGAGGAACAATTTGTATTCATCTTTAAAAAATATAACATATAGTACAGACATCAGCAATATACTCTAATGTCCTAAAGAAACTGCCTATAGATTATATTATACTAACCAGTTTTTCTCCAACTGGAGTTCCTTAATTTTTTCTTTATAGACACAATTTTTAAGGCTTGCAGACTGTCTTTAGACAATTAAAAAATATCTTCAGTTAGAGAAAAATGGATTGTTAAAGAATATTATGGAACCTAGTTTTTCTCCTTTTCATGACAGTGATTTTTTTTTGTATTTTGTCTATACTTATTAGTACAGTCAAGCCTTGTTATCTCAAACTAAATGGAACTAAGGGAAAATTTCAAGATATCCAAGAGTTCAAGATATGGAGGATAAAAAACAGAAAAACTGGCTAGGATTTAAGAAATAAAGTCCGCATTTTCGTGAATGTTGCAGAATAACCTCCGAGGTGGAGAAATGTTGTTTGAAAGATAAAAGCCGAGGCGCTGAGGCTTTTAAATTTCAAACAACATTTCGAGACTGAGGACTGAGCAAATCACAGCAATAAATTAAGGAGGGATTTTTGTCTGATTTCTGACTAAATAAAATATAGAAGTCATATTTGCTTACATCTTCTTGGCCAGAAAAGTTCAACCTTATGTACTAGCTTCCTAAACTGCTAATTTTTTTAAGCTTATAAAGAACCCAGTAAAGGTACCAGATACATGCAGAAGTATGCAAGTAATATTTAGTTAACATTAATGATCAGCAACTGAACATTTTTGTCAGATTTTTTATAACATTATGGTTAAACAATGGATTTCTGTTACCTATATATCTACCAGGAAGACAGGTAACTTAGCACGTCCTATTGATATTTGGTACGTGTCACATACTGTAAATCGTTTTAATTCCACGATGTTAAAATTTCACGATGTCTCAAAAAGTACCATTTGCGATGGTTTTAATTTCACGCTGCAAGAAATTAATTAAAAATTTCGTATAAGCAATTTAACATTTTTAAAAACTAGTAATAACATTCACGATGGGTTTAATTTCGCGGAAAATTAACAAATCGCGAACATAGCGAAATTAAAACCATCGTGAATATTTGCCAATCTACAGTATATATTTACTAAGGAAGTTTTTGCTTGAAATATCCATTAAAAATAATTTTATTCCTAAGAAAAATGATCAACAAAATTTCCTTGACATTTTTTTTCATTTTATTTGTTATAAGAAACTTAATATAACTGATAAAAGAGAGAAGGGGGAGGGGAGAAGGTGGAGAGAGAGAGAATTTGAAGGGAAACAGCTTTTACATTTTGATGGATCTTGATACAGTAAAATATGCTTATAAATAGCAAACATTCTTATTATGTATGTAAATATATTTATGGGAGACTAGAATCATGAATTCAAAATTCATAAACTTCTCCTTATTATTATATGTTTCCAAGAATGAAGCAGAAACTGTGATCAAGGGGGTTAACTCTTAATATTAACACATGCCAAATGTGGATGAAAAGCATTATGGATTAATTCCAGTAATATATATTATTGCCATTATTAAGCATAAATGTTCTTACTAAAGTAAGTGGTGGATTATCTATAAATGAGAATAAAAAAAAAAACATATAAGTTATTTGTGCATATATTATAACTGCATAATTATATGTATATGCAGGTACAGGCATAATATGTATATTTCATTTTACTTTAAAACTATATATTAAAAAAAGTAAAAAAGGAAGAAAAAAAAGTTAAAAACAAAAGATAAATGTAGAGATATTTTGTTAAATTTTTGCCCTACAGGTACAATATTAGAGCACTTAAAACACCTGAGCATTTCAGGCTTGTAAAGAATGACCCAAAGATAGAACTGGCATTTAAATCACTCAGGTGTAGAAAAATGAAATCTTCTCCAATACATAACATATAAACCTCTGAGCTGTGTTACTGTACTTGTGTACAATCATGGCTGACTAAATGGTGTTAAGATTTGGTCAAATTTGGAGTTGACCTATAGTGATTGTTGGGTTCAGATAGGGGGATTTTTTGTATTGCCTGACTATGGATTTGTTTACATGAACAGCTGACTGTAGCAGTAGTGTGTTGTGTTGCCGAGTGTCATGTGTTTTTATTAAGTTTGTCTGTGTGTATCGGAGATATAAAATATTTTATCAATATACATGTATGTATAGACAGGATCAAGGTGGGAAGTATATATTGACACTTACTAGGAGTGAACTGTGAGAACAGACAGAAGGGTTGACGTGGACTGCAATTGCTTGCACTATTCTGTTGTGAACGTTATGTAGTGAATTTGTTTAAATGAGATGATTTTGAAATACACCACAGTTTTTTTTAAAGAGTTCAACAAGTGAATTGCTTACACTGTAAAGTTTTTATAGAGTGTTTTCCTGCACCATTCCTTGATCTACTTTAAAAAAATTTGATTGACAAGAAAACTACTGGAGATGTACATGTGGCAGAGTTAAAAATAGCCCTGTACGGCTCGCAGTGTGTCCTCTGAATTCAGACTTTGGATATTGTGTTTTCTGATCTCGCTGTTCCATAATTTCCTGCAGGAAATTGTACTTTGTTCCCACAACTGACTGGTGACTTGACCTTGAAACAGTGTGCCAAAATTATCCATAATTTTTTATGTATTCAAATATCTGTCATGCTTGGATTAATCATTACGCATTATTAACTGAGGAATAAAGAGGCCAATCTAAAGTGACTGATGTATTAATCAGGGACTAAGTGGTTTTGTAGTACCAGTTCCTGCATTATAATATAACGTTACTGTTTGATGTAGTATTATCTCGGAAGAGATAATACTTTTACTGATAAACTTTTGACAACAATTGATCACTGTGCTTTATTGTAAACCTATCTAATATGGATGCCACAGCTAAGGTTAAAGTTTCCCGTGATTATTTCATTAGTAAACAGAATACTGTGCTGCTACCCAACAAAGATTTTGGGAAGAGGAAATTCCTTCATCTTGGAAACAGCACTGGCAGCTTAAAGTCGCCGGGAAAAGAGAAATCCTTTGAAGGAGGAATAGGGGGCATAGAAGAGACCAGTGCCCCCCAAGTTCTCACCATGAAGTCAGCCCTAAAGCAGTGGATCCACCCCCCTGACAAACTACTCACTGGACATATTGTGTACAATGTCAAGGTAAGGGGTCAAAGGTCATGCTCATACAAATGAAGCTGTGCTAAAAAAATCTGCACCTTAATACACTCTTATTAATGTCAAATTTGTGGTAAGGAACCATCCTCCTGTGTTAAAATCCTTTTTTAATAATTTTGGTTTGAAAATCATCTGAAATTATTTTAACTCAATAACAACTGTAAATGTTAGCTTAACCATACACCCCCTCCCCCCTCCCCACACACACACAAACCACTGGTTTTAAGATTCCATATCCCAGGTATCCATGACTCAATCTTTACAAACCTTGAGCTCATTGAGACATTCATATTAAAGAGATTTTTTCAATATAAAAGGAGATTTTTTTAATGAAATACCTCTGAAATTTTCTGTCAAAGACAGAGATGCATTTATAGCCATAGGGTATACAACAAATTTAACCCTTTCATAAAGTGCATTGCAATTAAAATAAAATATGCATCCTGCTGAAAAACTCCTGCTAAGGACAGACTGTGCATATGTTAAAGTACAGTGGTAATATACTATAGGAACAGATTTTAAATAGAGACTTGTAAATGACTTTTTAGAAAAAAAAAATATGTTATGCTCATATCTACAAAGATTTTACAATCCCATATCAAAAAATAATACAGAAAAGTATATTTTTAATATATTTTTAATACATTCATTTTTGTACTTTCTTAAAATAATACAGAAAAAATATATTATTTTCCTATCACAAAAAATTCAGTATATCATTTTTGTATTAAAATTTGACTTTGATTTTGTACAGTATATTATTTTTGTATTTTTTTGGACTTAGATTATTTTCAGTGTATTATTTTTGTATTTTTTCAGGACTTATTTTTTTCCACATGTATTTTTTCTGTATCAAATTTGAACTTAGTAATTTTACAGAAAAGTCTATACAGTTAGACTGTATCATTTCTGTATTAAATTTGGACTTAATAATTTTACAGACAGTTTGTCTGTATTATTTTTATATCAAATTTAGACTTAGTAATTTTACAGAGTTTGTCTGTATTATTTTTATATTAAATTTGGACTTTGTAAATTTATAGAAAAGACCTTACAGTTAGACTGTATTATTTTTATATTAAATTTGGACTTGGTAATTTTACAGAAAGACAGTCAGTATTTTTTGTATCAAATTTGATTTTAGTACATTTACAGAAAATTCCATATATTTGGTCTCTATTTCTTTTTGTTGTTAGGGGGGGGGGTTAAATTTAGACATATTTTCTATTTACGTTTGTCTCTATGAACTTTATAAATTTTAGAGAAATTCCTTGCAAAATGTCTGCTGCTTTTTTTTATAAGTTTATAGCATACCCGGTACTTAGAAAATTTTTATTATATATTTTTTTCAGGAATCTTGGTATCCAATTATATAGAACTTAAATAATTAATTGGTACTAAAATTTATGTTAATCTCAATCAGTGGTAATCCAGAGAAATATTTCCGTCTTGGGCATGAAGACTTTACAGCGGGTTTACATTGACTTTTCAGCGGGTTTACATCTTTCACGTGTTTACATCTATCACACAACAGGTGGTCTTGCAGGCTAACAAATGATTGCATCATACTACAATTCAGAAATTACGTGATTTACCTGTGCACATGGAAAGTCCCAACTAGCTATTACCATGCATACGATGTTTTCTTCAGATTTTAGTATATATGTGCATTTTTTTTCACTCAGAGCAGGAATCATATTCAAATTATCCTAAATAACTTTCAAGAAATGAGCTGACAATGTTCAAGTCTAGAAAGGGATGTGCAAGTAGTAGGTTTCCTAATTTAAATTATCAGTGTGTTTAAGATAGATATTTACACTAGAGAAAGTTAGCTGAAACATGTGCAAAAATTATTAAAGTTTGGAAGTATTAATTTTTTTAACCTGCTTGGACTGTGTTATTTATGTAGTAGTACAGTCAATTTAATTATTCTAGTAGTTGTAATGTAAGATGGTTTTATTCAGATAAAATATCAGTTTTTCTTCAACTCTGTGTTTAATTCTACTCTCAGTTTAAAAAAAAAACGATCCTGATGTTAATTAGCTAATAATTTACAAGTTAATTATCTTTGATCTTGGGCTAATTCTTGCATAATCAATGCAATCAAATGACAGTTTCTCAAGTTAAATCTTCTACCCTGACAGCCTGAGGCATGTTAATTAGCCAGGTGGCTGTGTGCTTGTGTTCAAGCGTGAAGTGATTTCCTGTCGTGAATTCACACTTGGTTGCGTTATGTAAACAAGAGATTATCAGTATGCACTGAATAAACAGAACAGCTAAGGAATATTGCCTACACTGGGAATATTTATTAATTTTTTGTTAGGAAAATAGGACATGGCGCCGAGAAAAGGGGGCATGGCTCTGTGCCTTGCTATTTTGCTTTAGATTTAACACTAAATTGACCCTTCTTCTTGAACTTTATGGTCTATTATACGGGTCAACTTGTATACTAGTGATTAAAAAAACAAAAACAAAACAATATGGCTGACCAGAAATCTTTCTCATCTGTAATCGGAAAATTTCTTAAAAACAAAAATAACGATTATAAGAAATGATTCCTAATAATTATTCTAGTAATTATCAAGGGTTTATTATATTGATTCCATATTACTTATTAGACTTCGTACATAAGTAAATTTCCTTAGACTGTTAAAAATATTTTATATTTAAAAATCGGCAATCTTCGTAAATAAGGAGCTATTTGATTGGTCAGATTTTAAAATTTTTCTTTGCTTTTCTCTGATTGGTTAACGGTAATTTACCCACGCCATTTTGAAAAATAGATCGACGAACCGAATTGAGAGAGTTGGTGATGTTTAATAAAATTTAGCTAATATTCGCCGATGAAATTGGTAGAAAATAGATGTTTAGCTACAGCATGTTAGCATGGATCACATTTATAAACAAAGAAAAGCGAAAACGGAAGGAGGTTGGCGTTTTTCAAGCATCATGCCCTGGCTTTCCTGGTGTAAACAACGCCATATGCGGTAAGAATTTACATAAAATAGCACAGTAGTTTCAATTTTTAAAATGTGAAATGTAGATTAATAAATGTTATCTTTTATAAACAATTTATAGTAGGTCAAATTAAATGCAGATATATTGGATTTGTGGCGAAAGAGAGTTTTGTAATGCTACTTTCTATCTTGAATTGTATGGATAATTACGGGCTTTCAATGGCAAATGATATTATTTACATGGACCAAAAATGACTTAAAAATTAATTTAACCCTATCCCTCAGGCCTAAACATGGAATAATAACAGATAAAATCATCTTGGCATACAACCATTCAAATTTTGAAATGTGAAGGGGGGGGAGGGGTAATCATTGCAACTAAACTTCATGGATTTATGGTTTAGCATACTTATAATTTATTTCAAAAATGACTTGAGAAGAAGGTGATAAGAAAGATTTTTTTGGCACAAACTAATTATTTTTTATATCAATATATGATGATCTGTATTTCCCTTGCCCAATATCACTTTAAGATTTCAAATCAAATGACCCCCCCCCCCCCCAATAAAAGGGGGGGGGATAATGGCTCAATTTGTAGAATATTTTGCCATGAAAAATTCCAATCAGGTGTATTGGCAGTTTTATATTTTCATTTTTTAATGCTCTGTATTTCTATCCGTTCTGCAAAACATTTATCAGCATCATTACTTTTACAGTTTGAGTGCCTCTGCAGAGCCATAGAAGAAAAGCTGATTAGTTATAGAGGAATAGGACACCCACCCCTTGAGGCATTACAGGTGTGTAACATTGACAATATCAGCTAATCATGTGAAGATTTCTTTTTGTGTGTGTCTGTGCATCTAATTTTGATACACCTCGGTACTTTTTGATATTCTATTTTGTAGATTATGCAGGACCAAGCAGGATGACAGTGAGAAAACTGGAGATGTACTTCTTCAACAAAGTAAAGTGCTGTGCAAAAGAAACCCCAAAGCAGAGAGAAGATCTAGACTTTTGAATTCATATCTCATTATAAATGTACAATTTACAAAGACAATAAGATTGATAAAACATGACTTAGAAATGAGGACAATTGAAGAGTGAATACTGTATGTAAGACAGAAAAGATCAAGATAATTGCACAAAAAGTAACTAAATCAGTAATCTAAAGACATTTCTTTTTTTTGTATTTTTCAGAATGTATTATTTTTAGATTTTTTTGTTTTAAATGCGATTTTAATACAGAAATAATAGACTGATACAAAATTAATACATTTTGTATTATTTCCCTATTTTTTTTTTCAAGGTGCTCCAAATAATACAGAAATAATAGACTGATACAAAATTAATACATTTTGTATTATTTTCCTATTTTAATTTTCAAGGTGCTCCAAATAATACAGAAATAATAGACTGATACAAAATTAATACATTTTGTATTATTTTCCTATTTTTTTTTTTTTCAAGGTGCTCCAAATGATACAGAAATAATAGACTGATACAAAATTAATACATTTTGTATTATTTTCCTATTTTTTTTCAAGGTGCTTCAAATAATACAGAAATAATAGACTGATACAAAATTAATACATTTTGTATTATTTTCCTATTTTTTTCAAGGTGCTCCAAATAATACAGAAATAATAGACTGATACAAAATTAATACATTTTGTATTATTTTCCTATCTGTTTTTTTCAAGGTGCTCCAAATAATACAGAAAAAATACATCAAGTGTATTATTTTTGTATTTTTACTGAGAAATAAAGTATATTAAAAATATATTTTTTTGTGTTTCATTTCTAAGAAAGTGTATTATTTTTGACCTAATTTGGAACCAAGATAAAAAGGGTTCCAAATTTGGTCATTAAAAATATACTTTTTTTCTATCATTTTTGTATTATTTTAATCTATTATTTTTATATTTATTTTCGATATGGGATGTCTCATCAAAGTAACTGACGTACTGTATAGAAAAAAAAATCATGTATTTCTACGCCGTTGTTTTTTTTTCTATCATATATATCTGATTAGCCTAATAAGAAATAACCTTATGTTTAAGTAGCTACATTAAGATTACATTTCCTTAAGGGTTGGCCGGTTCTTGGAATCAGCATTTTTGAAAAGGTCATATCATCCACTAATGAAAAAAACAAAACTTTTACTATTAAACATTTCATATGATGATATTTTGCAGAAAGAAATAGTTCCTTGTTAATTCTATCTTTTTAAATATGTTCTGGTAACAAAGTCTGATCTGGAGAAAAGCAATAAGTTTAATGTATAGTAATTGATAATATTATGCACACCATTGAAAAAAAAATAATGCATATAATTCTCCCATAAATTATTTCAGTTTATGTACATGTATCATGTAAATAACACGATAAACAGCAAATAAATATTATGGTGTCCCAATAACATTTTGTTTGGAAATTAATACACAATGGGGACAACCATTTGATTCTGGAAATTTTGGAAATAAATATTTTTCTTGAAAATGTTGAAAATGATTAATCTGTCCTCCACTTGAAAGGAAATACTGTAGACAGGGAAATTTTCGCCCGTGTTTTATTTTTGCCCCTTTTGCCCTTACCTCGGTTGAGTGAATTAAAAAAGGTGCGAATTCAAAGAATACAATAGAAATTATTAAACAAAACTGTGACTGGACGAATTTAAAACAGGGCAAAATTGTTTGCAAGTGTAAAAGGGCGAAAATAAAGCGGGGCGAAAACAACCCTGTATACAGTAGATAATCAGACCTTGACTGTTGGAACCTACCCCCCCCCACCCCCCCCCAACACACACACACACACACCCCCCCCCCAACACACACACACATCTTCTCCTCTTCTTTACCTCCTTACTTATTGACTGTGATTTAAACACTGATTTCCTGATGTATTTTGACAGTTTTTGGGTGAATGTGAAGTAGACAGTGCCAAGGGAACAGATATAGTAAAAGATGCCATCAGAAAAAGAAAGGTATGTAAGAGCTTCATCAGAAACAGACAACTCATTTATCAAATGAATAATAACTTGATATATCATGAGAGAGTATATTCCATATGATGAATGTATTGTTGAATTCTTTGTCATCTTCTTTTTCAGTTTAATAAACATATACGAAAGGCAGAGGGCCAGAAAACACCCCGTGTTGAACTGACTATATCAGCTGATGGAGTCACAATTCAGGATCCCAAAACCAAAGTTAGTTCCCCTTCCTCTCCCTCTCTTTACCTTTTTCTTTCTGAAAATATTATTGACAATTAGAAGTTTAAAATATTTAATTTATTAGAATTAGATTTTTAATTTGTTATTGTGAAACATAAAGAACATAAAGAACTAGGCAGAGTAAGGACTCTATTTGGCCCCTTGCATCCATATTTCTCCTTTATAGACATCATATTGCTACATTTGGCCCCTTGCATCCATATTTCTCCTTTATAGACATCATATTGCTACATGTATACCAATTTCAGTGTTGTTCAAAAACTTAATTCTCCTCATATTGATCAGTACATGTTTATACTGTCATGTACCGATTACAATGTTCAGCTGTGTTTTAACATCTATTCCAGGCCTGTATGCATCAATACCCCCTGCACAGAATATCATACTGCGCTGATGATAAAACAGACAAACGGATGTTTACTTTTATTGCCAAAGCTTCAGACTCCAACAAGCACTTTTGTTATGTATTTGGAAGTGAAAAGTGTGTAAGTTCCCTTAAATGTACAATTTTTTGTTTTTTTAAATGGATGTGTATGTACGTTATGTGATTGCTTGTCATCAGTCATCTAAGACTTCTCATGAATTATTTACTGTCAACATGTACCTATGCATTTTAATGAAGACAACAAATCTGCAGAAATATACTGATTTTTATTTCTTGCTTTGGTTGGTTTGATTGTTACTTTCATAATTCTGGCTCTTTTAACACGTTACATATACATGTGACTTAAAGCATGTACTGGTAAATGCTCAACCCTTCAGAATGATCGCATTTACAGTATACATTGATATATTTTCAAAATAACTTTTTTCCCCTAGGCAGAGGAAATAACCTTGACCATTGGTCAGGCATTTGACCTTGCTTACAGAAGATTTCTAGAGACCTCTGGACAGGATATAGACACAAAGAAGCAATGTCTTATGTTACAGAAAAAGGTAATCCTTAAATACAGTCAATAGGGGTAAATCTACATTCAGTCTATATTATATGTTGTGTGCTAAGTGAAAAATTATGTTTCTATTTAGCTACAGTTAAACACGATTGTCTTGAACTTGATTTCTTTATGCTCATGTGCAGGGACCAGTGAAAGAACTTTATTCGGTAATAACTAATATTTGCCCCCCAAATCAAACTTTAATGGAGATATATTTAATTAAGTTCTTAAACAGGAAAATATATGCTGACTTCAAAGCACTGAATATTTTCATAAGTAATGACGCCATATGTACGTAATGACGTCACAAACATGACGTAAATTTAAGTTTTTTATGAATTTTACAGAAAAATGTACATATTTTGTCAATATTTTGAGTAAAAATCACCGAGTGCAGGCGTGTTCAGGATCAACATTTTGATATAATGTGTAGAATGATAATATCAATGAAATATGTCAATATTTTTCCTGAACAAACTTGCGCTCTATAAATTTTAAAGCTAAAATTGTTGAAATTTTGTCCATTTTGTCCTCTTTCTGAAAAAGGATATAAAATCGGACTAGTTTGTGACGTCATAAAAACAAAAATTGTGAATACACTGCTTTGACACTATAATATTTTCTGTTGATTTATATTTCTCATACAATTTATTGAATTCAGCACATTTCAGGAAGTTTTCAAAATTTGACTTTTGTGGGGGCAAATATATGCAATATACCGCATATAGTTCTTTGATTGAATAATTGGTAGTTTTTCATTTCCACAAATGTTTATTGCATTTTTCATTTCAAAAAATGTAGAGAAATACTTGCAATGAGGTATAAAATAGGAAATATATGTTTTGTTTCGTTTTATTCCTACTTTCATTTAGCATGATAATTGAAATTTTAGGTGCAGACACTAGAACAAGAAAATGCAGCTTTAAAAAGAAGAATTCAAGAATTAGAGAACCTGAAAGGTGTGGAACCAAATCAGAGGGTATGTTTTATTGTCATTTAGAGAATTTTAAATGGTTGTGTCTAAGAGTTTCCCTCCAACCCTTAAATGCATGCAACAGAATGCAAACTATTAATTTCCTCAAATATAAGACTCAGCATCAAAGTACATGTGTCCCATAGCAATCACTATATGTCTGCCTGTGAAACATTTTTCATAAAATCTTTAGTACTAGTGTATACTTACATTACACCTATAGGTACATAGGTTCATGGGTGTTTAATGGAAGACATCTAGAGATTTGGGTGTCTTTTGTTCAAAGGTCAAGGTCACTCAATGATAAAAACAATGGCTATCATTATTCACATTAGGATGTATTGTTTAACTTGCAATCCCAACTTCTTTAAATATTGAGAAAGGTTAGAGGAATTAATATACATATATGTACCTTGTCATTTTTTAAGTATTTGATCATAGATCAAGGTCAAAGACTATATATGTCCATTACTTTTTGAACCTTACAGCTACATGGATGGAGGATAGTTGAGGAAAACTTTAAATTTTGGTGTCACCTAGGAAGATCAATTATTTAAATCATATATAGTGAAGCAATATTATGGATAAAGAGACTATTGATATGGCTGTTATATGTTTAGGTATAAAGCAGTAACTCAAGAATGCAGGTAGTTTCAAACCTAGAAAGTACATTTTCAGTAAACAGATGAACAATGGTTAAGGAAGAGATTCATAAATTTTATCTCATTCCATCAAGGGACAAGGAAATTGGTATTATAACACACAGACTTTACATTTGAAACACAGTTAAAACCACTATATTGGAACTCAATATGATTTTGATAGTATACTATTATTTCAGCCAAGTAATCATTATTTAATAACTTCATTCTTATTTGTATTTTAGGATTTTATTTATAAAGAATGTTAATGTTACTAAATGCATGGAATGTTGAAAGCACCCAAGGGCTCACAATTTCATTCTTGCAGATTAATGCAAATAGTCGTAGCCTTGAAATAGTTGAGGGTTCAGTCACCAAAGACTCGGACAATGCTGCACACCCCTCAGGTGTGACATTGGACCCTTCCAGTCCACCAGATGATAGTTCAACAGAAAATTTCTTTTTTGATGGCGTAAGAGCTCACTCTAGCTTTGAAAACTGCTTCAAGGCATAGCTTATGCAAACACCATTAGATTGTAGTGATAGAAGCTATGCACATTAGATACTAGCTGCAGGTCTGCTCATTTTGTTTGAGTGTGCTATAAATATATAATATTTTCAATGGGTGCAGGCACTGTATAGCTCTCTATTTGTCCATCACATTTTTTTCAGACCAGGGAGCCAAAGATCTGCAGCTAATTAGACACTATTTAGCTCACCTTAGCAAGAGATTCTGACTAATGATATTTTTCTGCCAATCAATCCTTCTCAATGTTTTGTGTTTAATTTATAACATATTTTCATTTTTCTCCAGAAATTATATGTTTGACAAATGGAGAAGACTTTTAATGAAATACTTTAGTATATTAGGCACCTAGGAAGCTTAATTTCAGCTTGGTTGGTTAGGAGGGGGAGGACAACTTAACAAACTTTTTGACAAGCTAATAAAACAAAGCCACCACAAATTGGAGCATCCCCTTGCAAAGAGCATGCCTATAAATCAAGGCAACGATTTGACAGTGCAAATTACATCACTTCACTTTTTGCAAAGGACAAACTAACAAGCACACACACAAACTTTACTATGTCCTCTTAAACTCTGTTGTAATTTAGGGTATAAAAAAACAAAAGAAATGATAAAGAAGGAAAAAATTATCAGATATTAAGTACTGTAAGTAATTTTTGTTTTCAACTGTATAATATATACACTGCAAAAATTATTAAAGGGGGCAATTTATATTAGCTTTCAAATTGTTTTATATTTTATTGCATACAACCAGCAAAATAATAAAAAAGGATGGGGGCATATGGCTCCAAACAAAAATTGGTAAAGTTTGCACATGGCCAATGGGCCTTACTACATAGTCTAATTCTGTTTAATTAAGGTGGTGGTATGTTTAACACTATTTGGTACAGCTGTATTCTAATCCTACATAGTTTTAGTTTTTTACTCTATAATAACAAATTTAATGATTGTTTGGAATTCCAGTATATAGTGTTGACTCATCTATCGAGTCAAATAGTTTTGGTCTCTGTATCATAGTAACATTATGTAAATATTGCCTGTAGTTGAGTGTAATTACATTGAAAATTTTCACCCCAAGAAAACCATTGTCAACCGAGGCACAGCCGAGGTTGACAATGGTTTTCGAGGGGTAAAAATTTTCAATGTTGCACTCAACTACATGCAATATTTATTATATTATACTAAATTTACTTACCAAAAATACGCCATATATGACTTTAATGACATTTTAAAATTCCTTTTTGCCCTGTGCAAGTTGTACTGAAATTGAGTGTTAGTGTGGTTATTTCATATCTAACACCTATAATTTTGTCGACATGAGTTCTTGTTTAGTGCATTCAAATTTCAACTATGGCCATCATTGCTATGGAAACAGGATAAATTGAATTTGTAAAAAGTACTTACCTTGCATTATTTCAGTCCTTTGGAGTTCTTATTTCTGTTCGGAAATATATGAACAGTATTATACATGTAATTTAAAATGGTAGTCTTGGAATTTCAGTAACATGTTTTTCATAATACTAGGATATAAGTATTTGTAGATATATAATAAATTCATGTTTAGTTGTAAACAGAATTATTGATTTTTCCTAGGATTTTTTTGGACTTTCATCAACTTTGTATGATATTTATTTTATTTAATTAATTTTTTTTCATTTTGGTTGAATAGTTTGCTCCACAACCTTCAGTGGGTACTAGACTGGAGAACTTGATTCTGGACGACAAACCAGTTCAGACAAATGGTTCCTCCGCCACCAATGGGTCCACGCCTGTTTCACCCGGCAAAGGCCTCTGTATGTATGCTTATCGATAAAAATCTGGTGAATTAAAATAAAATGTACCCAGGAATGATAGAATTTGGCAAATTATGGTTTTGATAGATATACAAATAGATCTTGATTGCAGACAAATGCTTATGTACTGTATACAGTGTTATTTTCACTTGTATAACTAGACAGTACTTTTATCTGATGTAGTTGTGTTAAAAGATGCATAATTTTTTTCACTTAAGACTAAGCTCAAAAGGGGCAAAAATAAAGGGGTTGAAAATTTTCATACAGAAGGTATGTACAAATCAGAAAAAAAACTTTGCATGTTAACTGATGTAAATATTGATCAGTAAGGGCCACAACTCCAACATTGTTACACTGTGTTTCCTTAGGAACAGTTTCATGTACAGTAATATACATGTATCTTAAAATTAAGTCCTGTAGAATACATTAATGCTTTTTTTTATTCATATATGTATTTGTCACTCCTTCTGTAAAATTATATTTGCATCTATATGTATACTGAATACAAATTATTGTAGAAAAAATCTATTATCTTTTTAGTGTCTCCCCCTCCGAGAAGCTCAAGGTCACATTCGCATTCATCACCTGCAAATTCGTCAGGTATTTCAATAAACTACTTCTAATTACTCTTGGACAATTTGTTGGCTAATGTGGGCTAAAAGCTTTCCAAGATAGAGATATCCAAAATCTCAAAAATTCATTTTTTTAACTTTCCTTACAAAATACATTTCAAATTTTGAGTGAATTTATTTTTAACAGGGTCAGTGAACCCCTTTTCCTCCCCAGGGTCTTTCACATCAGATGTGGATCCATTTGGTATGACGGCATTCACCCCTACAGGGCCAGGATCCACCCCTCAAACTAGCACTGTGAGCAGTACTGAAAAGGAACTGATGGATATGCAGGTCAGCTACAGATTTTAAACCATATTAATTGTTCTTATATGTTAAGGACATAATTATATTGTATTTTTAAATGGATATATTTTCATGTCTTTTATATTATTCTAAATAGTGCTCATTTATCGATTTATTATATTTCTATGGTTCCATACCTCTAGGTGGGATTTAGTGCTGGCTTGTCCTTTGGCACAGAAGACTTCTCTTTGGCTGACTTTGACCCCTTGAATCAGAGTTCATGATGGGAATGTGCCAATCAGAGCATTGATGTGATATATTCTACACTATTTACCTAGTCCTTTATCACTTTGGTGTTTTTATATTAAGTGAATTCAGGTGTAAATAACATTGAAATACTTACCTGCAAATACATGTATACTTTAGTTTACCAAAGGTCATCATTATGTGCATGTATATACTTAGTCATGTAGGAGACTCAAAGACTGTTGAAATATTTTATGTAGATATATTATATTTTTGTATGAATTTATCCTGGGTCCAAGAATTACAAAATAACTAAATTGCTCTGTGAGTGAAAGTTATAATTGTGAGGTATGTTTTGTATAATAGGTAAAACTTTACTTTGCCATTCCATTTTGCAGAGCTTAGCAATATATATACTTGTATAGCCATCGGAAGCTTGTACACTAGAATGTATTATTAGAGTTATGAGATTTAAGCTTGATAATGCATATGTGGACTCTACTGTACTTTGATTGATCTAAATATCAGTACTTATTTTTAAGTCATAATGCACAAGAATTCTGCATGCTTAATTTACTGTTATAATTGTTTTGACCATTTTCGCAGTCATTTGTATGGTAAATATTAAATGCTTTCAGTCATTGTTTTTCATTATAGTTCATATGGTGGAGTGCATGATATGTGAAATCATTTTTTACAGTGGCATTCAAATAAATTCAATGCAATGAAAATCAGCTTTATCAGTTCATTCAGGAGGGAATTTGGATAATAGAAATCTGATTCTTAAAAGATCTTCATACCCTGATGTCAGAAATGTTTTTGGTCATTAAGAAAATTATATTACAGGAATAACTGTCTAATATTTTTGTTTCATGATGTGATCAATCGAGTGGCTTGCGTGATAATTTGCATAAGCGAATTATCACGCATGCCACTCGATCATTGTCACAAAACGAAAATATCTGACAATTCTTCCTTATATTTACATGTTCTTGACCCCGCAAATTCACGTGCTGCAATCCTTAAACAATGCCTTTTGATGAACCAGTAGATTTTTGTAAAAATAAATTATCTTTACTGTATGTAATTTTATCTCGGACAAAGACATTGGATATGTAAATACAGTAAAACTCTGTTATAACAAAGTCACTGGGACCTAAGAAATTATTTTGCTATATCCTTAATTCCTTATATCAATTAAGAAATTCAGTAAATTTATATAGCTGGGGACCCAAGATGACTTCCCAATATCCGTGTTCATACTAAACGAGTTTTACTGTATAAATTCGTAAAACATGAGGCACCTAATCTATTTCACTTTCAACATAGACTGACAGTCAGCCTTTTACCTACCCAATAAATGTTCAAATTTGATGGACAGAAAACAAGTTGCTTTTATATCTATGTAAGGGGAGAGGAGAAAATTAGTGGACCGGACTGGGATTCGATCATTTTGACTCTTTAAAAAAATCGACTGTAAGAATTTCTAACATTCTTCTATGAGCTGCAAATTATAGTAGAGACAGAACTAGTGCAGTTTTGGAGCCAATTCTTTGTGACTTGTGCTTTTAATGTAAAAATTTGTAAGTCTCATGTTTTTAATAATTTCCTTTTATGTGCAATGAACATAGATGTTGAACAAGATATATTTTATATTACAATCCCCTGGCGAAAATTTGCAATTTTCTTATACATTGTTCATGTATTTGACTTCCCTGCAATGTACCAAAAGAATACTTGAGCTAGACTTACCCACCCCCTTTCAATGTGCTATCATGCCATTCCACTTATTGACAAACTAGAAACAAGATTTGAAATATTTATTTCACTAACAAAAATAAAATTTTTTAGAATTAATAATATTAAAATTTTATATTGACAAAAACCACAACTATTTCCTATTTTTATTGAGTTGATTAATTACTACCTAAATGCAAGATTGTACCGCAATATAGCAGATTGTAAGAGACATATTACGCAGTTTTCGCACCCGGCCAAGACAAAGTCAAGCATTGCAAGAAATTGAGTGGTGGGCATAAAACATAGTTTTGTCATCAAAATATATAAAATGTCTACACGGTAGACGCTCAGTTTGGTTACCTTACAAAACCTCTTCAAGAAGAAAGTACCGCCAGCGATGGTTGAGTGGACAATTTCTTTTATTATTCTTTTATAGGAATTTTCCCAAGGATAAGACCAATTTTCCAGTAAATTTCAATATTCACTTAAGCATGTCACATTGGTCCCCCCCCCTAACTTTTCTTGCGAAGTCTACCCCTAAAAATCGGAAGTGTGATAGGCCAAATGTTCGTGCAATTCTTAAAATAAACAATATATGATAAACATGGGCTTATCGATATTATTTTTAAAAAGATATGGGGACCCCAACCTGTTACAACCTTACTGACCACCACCGGTAACCACAAACTTTATATTGGTACAAAACTTGGTGCGAATAAGACCATTCTTTTGTCATGTCATACATGTATTGTAAATGTTGAATTAAATTCTACAAGTGTATTTAAAATTTTCAAAAATTGCTCTTAGAGGTAAAAAATAATTGTTGTTTAAGAGGATAAAATTTGAACCTTTCTTTCAATGTGAATACAAATTCTCACAACCAACTGCTCAACATTTAAAATAATAAAATAAAACAAAATAAATTACTTAGTATTTCTAACAAGTCTAATTAAGCCACAACTCTCACCCAAGTTACCTATTTATATTTACATTTGCAAATGTTTTCCTTTATATAACACTACTAAAGGCAAGCGTTTTTATAAATTGTGTAATAATAGACGAATATCTCCATATACATGTTATTCATAATCACAAGGTGCTGAAATTAAACTTTTACATCAAGCACAACAAGAAACTTATATTGACGCAAGCGTCAAAAATCGGCCGCAAATCAATTAATTGTTCCTTTGATAAAATAATAAGAAACAAATTTGCCGTTGGGTTTAAAAAATTTCTTAGGCCTTGTGTCACACTTGCATTAACATTAATAATCATGCAAATATAAAGTATATGTATAAGTCACAAACTGTAAATATAGTTTGGTACTTGTAATAAGGTATCATTTTTTGTAGTTTTTACATAAAAGTACAAAAAATAAAATTTAAACTTAGCTATAGTTTTACTCTAATAAAAACGCAACAAATATAAAATAAGTGGGACTCCTCGCTCTCTCTTAGAGGATGTTAACACCCCCCCCCCCCCAACTCCGTCTAGATGCACCACTACATTTCTTATCAAGTCTCTTTGTTTTGGTGTTAAACCCTAAAAAATGTAACACATAAACTTACATTGACCAAATACACATAGATGCAGTAGTAGTGAATTGATGCTACCATATTTCATCGGTTTTTTGAAAATTTTCAATAAGAAAATGTATAAATATACACATCATTTTAAAATAAATACAACAAATCCTGTTTAGGCTGTTTAAAAAGAGAAAGTAAAATTCTTGGTTATACAACTTGTTCTTTGTTTTAGACTATGCCTACATATAAAGTCTCCGCACTTCAGTCATGTAAGAGTTTGTCAAAGGATAGCCATGGAAGCCCTATTTATAAAATTTTGATTTTATGATTATTTTAAAAGCTAAGAATCATTTAAATTATCTTTGAAAATTTTCTGTAATATAAATGTCTCCATATTTTTATTTAAATTGTTTTAACACAAGGTGCTGAAATTAAACTTTTACATCAAGCCCAACAATCATACAGTAAAACTCGTTTATAAAGAAATCACTGGAACTTCGAATTTCACATTCTTATTACAAAGGTTCTTTATATCAGTCAATCCTTATTACCGAGATGTTCTGTGTGAGGAAAATCCAGTTATACTGTATTTGGCACATAGCAGTAATCATCATGGGAAAACGTCTGTTTTATAAACAGCCAAATTTTATCCCCAATAGAGTAAGGAATGCAAGTTGCTCTGGAAATTTTAAGACCACTGGGATTGAACTTGTAGTAGGTAAGCAACCCAATGGACAACAATTATTTTAATAATTAAATGTAAATAAATCTTTTTTATACATGTTCCATATCGTATTGAAATTAACAAAGATTTTTTAAGACCAATTTCTCAGTGAAAACTTGGACCTTTATTGAAAACCGATATTGACATTAGAACATTGAATTTACATTGTTATACATTTATAAAGATCGAGGCCCATAATTATCCGTAATTATTTTTTGATAAAAAAATACATCACATTGGTACTGGAAACTGAACAGAGAAAACTTTGATCAGAAAAAAAGTAAATAACAATAAAATATATATGATAACAAATGATCAGTTACATTATGGTATTACAAAAGGTACTCAAATAAATTAATTTTAAATAAATAAATAAAACAAAATAAAATGTTAGCAAATTTGATAACCAGTACATATACTAGTATTCTTAATAACAATGGTCATTTACAATATGATAAAGTGACAGGGAACTAACAGTTCGGACGAAGTAAATGTTCATATACATATGTACTGAGTAATTCGACCATCGGTCATTTCTTCGTGTAAAATAGAATGCATTTGACCCTTGTTTTCGCTTAAAACTTCACATTAAGATTTTCTCATGCCAATACCATCTTTAATGTCACCTTCCGAGATTCCTTTGTAGTGAAGACACATAATTTCAAATACCACTGACTAATAGTTATTTTGGACAGTGATAAATTCTTACAAATACAGTTAATACCCATTAAAAGTCTTAAAAAATTATAACTTTTAAACTTTATCTATATATGTTTAACATGATCTCTTTTTATAAGTTTGAATTATTTTTTTAACATTAACTAAACTTCCGTCCTTAATGAATAATTAGTCCGTATTGTTGCATACATATGATCGGAAAAATTTCTATATTTATCCTTTTTAAATGTACTGTCTTTGACTACCGCTGTACCACGCGATGAAAGGGTACTGGAGTCATAGATTTTATTGTTGACCGTTAAGAAATCCAAACTGAGTTGGGATGCAAAGGATCCAAATCGAGGCTTATCGTACACGTGACCCTTGGCGGGTTTCTGTATGTCGTAGCTTCGGATACTCTTCCAGTTGTGGAAGCAGATGTAGATCCCGACACAGATCACTACTCCCATGAAAAAGGCTGCACACCCGATCACTGTCAAATGGATCAGCGTGTAATCACGCCTATAACCCATAGAGGTGTACTTCAACGTTCTACCTACAAGACAATCAAATGAAGCAAGGTGGATTACAGAAATTACATGTGAAAAAAATTAATAGTGTTCTTAATTTACTGTGCACGTATTAAAATTTATGAAATACACATATGTTGAACATAACTGTCTTGCTAAGCTTTAACAAGAGGCCCAGGGCCCACAGCGCTCACCTGAGCACATCGGCTAGGAAAAAGCACATATCAGATCAGAACTGAAAGTTTACTGAGGTGGGGGGAGGGGGGGGGGGCTTGAATTTTAACCCCCAAGGGGATCATGATTTGAACAAATTTGAGTCTACACTACCTGAGGATGATTCCATATAAATATTACTAATCATGGCTTTGAAGTACTTGAAAAGATTTTAAAAGGTTTCCCTATATATTCTTATGTAAAACTTTGGTTTGCCATTTTGACCCAACCCTAGCCCAGGGGGTCATGATTTGATCAAATTTGAATCTACACTACTTGATGATAATTTCACATGAGTTTCATCTTTCCTGTCTCAACGGTTCTTGAGAAGAAGATTTTTA